TCGATTTATAGGTATGCAGGATGACCTACGATGCCACTTTTTGACTTCTTGTGTCAAATATCATCTGGATAGCACGTCAACATTATATTTGACGTTTTGCAACAAACGTATACTATTTCGCGCGACTAGCCTCATAAATGTTCTGAAACTAAAACCGTCTCTTCGCAATTAACTTGAACCACGTCATCCCAGCTTATGCACGACAAAAATAAAATAATGCTTCAGGATCACTGGCCTGAATTCCAAAGCTAATAGTTTACTCAAAACCGGTGTGGCTGAGGCACTCTTCGCTACATCTCGTGACGGCCACCATTGTGTTGCATTTTTCGGTAAGCTATAAGTTAATAAGGGAAGGATTGGTGAGTGGGTTGAAAACCGCCCTCACCCTCCACCCCCCCCTTCTTCAACATAAGCAACCGAAAGATCTGGCGATGGTTTATCCACCTCCTCTGCCGCCGCGTTGCGAGGCCTCGATTCGTTCGGTATGTGGCTTCCTGAGCGGTCCTCCCCGGAGGCAAGGTGAAAGGTCATGGCCTGTATCAGAAATTCATACGTTGCTGAATATGTTTTATAGTTCTTCCAAGGCCTTGGACACCGTTTTATTATATCGGATAAGCATTGCACTTTCTTGTCAATCAATACATCTAAAGAAAACTTGATCATAATCTTATACTGTGGCAATTGTAGTTCTGCTTACGGTTGCCTCTTTATGATACGGGCCACCACCTCCTCCACTGCGCTGGAGCCCTGGCGTTCTACCCCTCCCCGCTACGGACCGGCCCTCGGGCTAGGTGTGTTAGTACTGAGCGCAAACCTGTAGTAGTCACGTGACTTTCATTCACGTAGCGGGAACGGAAGCTAAAGGCGATACCAAGGACGGGCTCTGGGGAGGCAACCGGCGCGGAAAAATAGCACGATTGTAGTTTTGGAAGAATATCTGTTGCGGTAAGAGGAATTATACAAAACATACGTCCTAGGAGCAAACATGTGTTATTCCTCCATACTTTGCACTACATTTCCTTTCTCCAATGGCCAGCACTTAGCAAATAATGGCGCAATTCTAAATTGGTAATATATGTGTACAGTAGCAACTGCGGGTCCCTGTACATTGATATCAATGTCTGAATGCTGAAGAATTATTGAACAGGGAACACATTTACCTAGCCTTTAAAAACCACAAATTCTACATTACTTACAGCAACATTTTTCTATAGAACTTATAATATCTACTTTCATCTGGATAAGGCTTTTTACATTATATTCCCTCTGTTAAACATGAAAATATGATGAGTTATAGTGTAACAAGCTGGTAATTATATCAGCCTTGTCAGCTTGGCCAACATCTGCATCATGTATATCACAAAATATGACTGCTTTCCTGACATTTTTTGTTCCACTCACCAATTGACCACTTCTACCATCTGCTCGCTCTATGCACAGACATTGTCATAGGGTCTGTTCCAGTCGCACTTCTTAACACCTCTTAACTCCTCCAAGATTGCTTCCCTGTTCCAGTGGCAGCTTTCGCCCCTACGAAGCCAAGAAGGGTCTTGCTCCAACCTCCTCTATCTTGCTCTTGGAGGAGTTTAGATGTGTTAAGAAGTGCGACTGAAACAGAGAAAACAGTTTCATCTCTCTGTACTGTCTTTTTTCCAGGTTTTAAAAGGATCATCATTCATCAGCACGGAAGGGTGGGAAAGAGAAGGCTGCTAAAATTCTGAAAAGCCAGAGCCGCAAAGGAGGTCAAAGATGCAGTGCAGTTGGCCCACTCAGCAGAGTTTCACTAGTGGTTCTGATGTGGACTGGGGATTACACGCTGGATTGAAGTGGCCGGTCTGGAGCAGCTGTAATTAATCATTCGTGCTGATTGTGGACGAGTAAGAGCCCGCGTTGGCCCCGATCAGTTGGGCAAACTACGGGGAGGTAATCAAGAACTTGATTTATCAAGTTAATGATTATTTTATGCCCATATTTGGTAGTTTGCAGCCCGTCACGAAAACGGCCGAATCTCGATTCAGGGTCTACGGAGATGCACGAAAATTGTAAGACCGATAGAGAAGAAGTCACTCTACAAGTGTAATGTTTGAATGATTCAAGTTGAAAATCGTGAGGCGGTAGATTGCAACCAAAACGTAATCAACAACTTGATTACGAGGCGTCGTCCCGGGAGTCCGATGATCAACTTCTTGATTACGCAGCCAGCTGGCTAATCATGATTTTGATTTCGCATTCAGCTGGCTAATCACGATTTTGATCGCGCTGATCGTGCTACTGGCGAGCGTTGAACAATGCAGCTAATTAAAAGATACAATGATAATGGTGTATATAATTGACAAAATCAACCAGTTTTGGTGGGATGGAATTTATGTTGCAGTTAATGTTTCTCATGAATGACTTGACCGAGCCTGTTCAAATTTTGTGTGTGGCTAGAAGCAAGGCCGTATAAGAGAGGTAGAATCATCCCGCAATTTCCAATGGACCGGTCGCTAAGCATTAGCGTGACGTCACTGGTGGAGACCGCGCGGCGCCCGGCTCCAAGCCGTATGTCGGGTACATTTGGCACTTTATCGTTGTTATTACTGAACGTAACGACAACTAATGACTCTTAATAACTTTTTTACCCACCTAAAGCTGATTTCCTTGCCGATACATTGCCGACCCGAGCCCCAGGGTTGACAATCTTGGGATATGGGTCGGATGGGCGACCTCGCGACGGGAGAAGGAACGATTGCAATTGTTGTGTCCCGCACCGCCGATGGCATTCTCTGTCTGCACCTGGAGGGGGGGGGGGGCAGGGGGCACGTGCCACCATCGGATCAGGGGGCCTCTCGGGCCCGAGGGGCCTGCGACGCCAATTGGTGGCTGAGGGTCCACGCCGGCATTTTCGACTCAGAAGGGCCCCACAGGGCTCGAAAGAACACCTTATGTGCTCCGAATAGCCACACTTCTCTCCATAAGAGTCACACACCGGCTTTTTATTGTCCCTTGTCGGCATTCGAGGCCCCTTGCCGGCCTCTCAGGGCCCATTGGCGATCTCTGAGGGCCCTTACCGGCCTATCAGGGACCAGCAGCTCTAACTAGGGTTCCACACACGCCTGTGATGACCCCCTAAACCAATGGTTGAAGGCCCCCACAACGGCGCCTGCGAGGGCCCTCACCGGCGGCTGTGAAAGCCCCAAACCGGTGCTCAGCTGAGGGCCCCACACTGCCACCTCTGAGTTCAACCGGCACCCCTGAATGAAGTCCCAAAGGCCCAAACCAGTGCTTCTTGGCCATCTATTTATCGGCGGCTCTGAGGGCTGACCGCCGGTGCCTCTGACGGCCCCAGACGGGACCTTCGCATCGGACGGCCAGTGGCCACTCACCGGTGACTTTTGAGGGCCCACACCGACGACTCTGAGGGCCCCCAGCGGCGTCTGAGAGTACCTTGCTGGTCTCTGAGGACTCCCGGGCTCCTGAAGACACCGCAGACCTCTTGAGGGCCCCTTGTCGGTCTCTGAGAGCCCCTGTCGGCTTTAAAGGGTTCGAGCCAGCAGCTCTAAGGGTCCCACACCCGACTGTGATGACCCCACACTGCAGTGTCTCTGAGGACCCTAACCGGCGCCTCTAAGGGCCACACACTAGCACCTCAGAGGGCCTACAGCGGCACCTCGGGGGCCCCGCACCAATGCCTCTGAGGGCCTCACACCGGTACCTACCTGTGAGTGCCCACACCAGTGCCTCCAAAGGCTTCATTACCGGCGGCCCGAGGGCACTACACCGGTGATTTTGGGGACCTACCGAAGGCACAACACAGTCCCTTACGTCTCGCTGAGTTGCTATCCCAATCCCATGACGGTTTCTATCCCAATTCCGGCTCAACTAATTAGCAGCCCCCCCCCCCCCAGGCCCCATGGGTCAGCGGCGCCGCGCCGGTGTCGGTGCCGGGGGCCAGCGCCATCGGGGCGGCAGTCGGCCACGTGCACTCAATGGTTAGCGCTTAGCACCGGCGGCTAGCGCACGCCCGGCGTGTTATCGGCCGTGAGCCGCTCCAAAACGGCTGCAGTAACTGGTCGATATAGGCAGTAAGCAGATGAGGAGATGCAGGTGGATTGATGACCGGCAAGCTTTTGTGCTTTACGAGGGCGAAGGGTCGAAGTCGGCTGCTAAGCCGTGAGCGGGTTTTATTAGATGCCGGTTCACTATGACCGTTATCCGGGTCCTGGTACCCTGACGCACTCTTGGAGAGCCGAATTATAGCAAAACTCCATCCACGACTGTATCTATACGGCGTACGCTTTTCTGAAAACGTCTGCGTTTGGCCTTCTACGGACCCGGCCGGCCGGCCGGCCCCGATTGGCGATCCACCAGTGACGTCACTGGTAGTGTTAAGCTGATTGGCGAATAATACATGGGGAGAACCGGGACGACATCCCCCTGGCTAGAAGCGGATTAGCTATAAGCATTGGACAAATCGGGGATAGGATATATGTGCACACGCGCCCCTGATTTCTGTATCTCCGGAACGGCGTCACCGATTGTTTTTCAATTTTGGTGGGTGGCTAGAGACTCAATAGCTATAAGCTTTAGACAAGTTAGGGATGTGGCACACACATGTGAACTTGTGCACGAGCACACCTCTTCTCGCGCTTGCTCGCTCACATTGCCGAACACGGATCTGAAAAAGACCACCCCGAGCAAGAACACCCGCAGTCAGCTCAAATGATAATCTGCATACGACCACATAATTTGGACGAATAGCGTCACAACCCAGAGCCCGTGTAACCAAGCACAGATCAAAGATATATTTCAAGAAATGTGTATTTATAGTCCTCGCCGGTGGAAGGCTCAAAGAATTGGCAAACGCTTCCGACACCCCGCAGCGGCATGCTCTACGGGGATCTCATCTCACTCCACTTGCTTCACGGTCGCGATGGCCGCCGCTGATGGCGGCACATCGGCCTTCACTCTACCAAACACTTTGGTTCTCAGAAACCAATTCAGATTGACCATGTTTATAATAGGAGTTTTGATATTAAAAATCCAAAAGGCGGCCTGCCACAGCAGGAATGCTTGGTCTGGTGGCGCCGATACCACCTCCTGGGCCTCGACGAATACCGCGTCTTCCCCGCCCAGCTCTCCATTCACGATTATGGGATGGAAAGTTTTGCGGGCCTCCGTTGGCTTCCGTCGTCTCTTGGAGAATGCGCTGCAGGTTCTCCAGCTCATCCCCTGCAAAATGTTCATAACCAAATTATAGGTACACTTAACATTGCGTGGGAGAAAATGGAGGAGAAAGAATAGGAGAGAAGGAGGGAAAGTAAAGGAGGGAGAGAGGAGAGGGGAGGGGAGGGAGTGAGGAAGGAAGCAAGGAAAGATGGAAGGAAGAAATGATGGAGGAGAGGTAGGCAGATGTAACAAGGCGAACAAGACAAGACATGGACCTGATGAGTTGGCGCAGGGCACTGATAGGTACTACATTTCGGCACATGATGTGAAAATAATGTATAATGCCTCAGACTCAGCAGTCTGGAAAGTGTAGTTGTTACAGGCAAAGTGAAAACTCGGGCATTTTGCAAAATGCCTAGGCAATTTGCAAAATGCCTGACTGGCTAGGCATTTTGCAAAATGCCCAGGCAATTTGCAAAATGCCTGACCGGCCAGGCATTTTGCAAAATGCCTAGGCAGTTTGCAAACTGCCTGGCCCACCAGGCATTTTGCAAACTGCCTGAAATTATTTTCTCAGGCAGTTTGCAAAATGCCTGACATCGAACTCACACCAGCGACGATGCGTAAGCATCATTGTAAGTGCCGTCAACAGGGGTTAATCACAAGCGATACGCACCAAGTGGGAGGACACACAGTGAGACATTCTCCGGGTAGCGCTGCCGAGTTCAATGTCACTGAACCCCAGGCAGCGCGAGCGGCCCGGCCGCCGCGCCGGCTACCGGGCGCCCGGCGGCGTATTCGCCAATTGTATTACACGAATCGGGCGACCAATAGCGGGCCTCTTGAGTGACGTCAGCGTGGCGTCATACGTTCGGTCCTCGCCCTTGGTGGCGTCTTTTGAAGCTAGGTTTTAACTTAATGATATTTAAGCTACCCTAAATCTGAGGTTACCGTTGCGGAGTGGTTAGAGTATCGGACTGGTGATTTAGAGGTAGGTGGTTCGAATCCACTCGGTGACTTCAATTTTCGTGTCATCTGTCATTGTGCGTTTTTTATACATTTGCAACCGCGTGCACCTAAGAAATCAGACGTAGGAATTCTTCTAATGAATATGTTGCATAAGATAAATATTTGCAGTCCAACCGATTGGTTCGGTTTCGGTATTTTCCAATGGTCTTTGTTTGTATTTGGTTTGGTATCGGTGTTCTGATTTTCTGTGATTGACATCACTAATGCATAGTGCATACTATGCGAACGTAGCCAATGGAAAGACAAACGGTGCTAGGCGATGGCCATTGATCAATATTTCTCACTGCCAATGGGTGATAGTACGCAGCATATGACAGCGGCAGCGCTGACCTTTTGAAAGTAGGTGGGCCTTGGCAAGGTAAACTACCAAAAAGTAGCGAAAACTAAGATGAAAAGTAAAAATCGCACGCTGGTTAGCAGGCTATCAGATCGTTTTGCGTGTAAGAATCACCATGCACAAAAAAAGTTCGGCATAGCTGTTAGCGTAATCACGGGACGAGATCATCAGTTTCCAGCCGTCAAACGCGTCATCTATAGGAGCTATGCCCTAACTATAACTTTTACATTTCAGCCGCCAGGGGGATACCTAAGTCCCGTTACTTGGAATCAAAAAGATTTATATTTGACATTTATGAAGATAACTTGGGACTGGTTTTAAGTTGCATCCTCACGGCGGGCTGTCATCAATTTATCTCTATACATGTCTTATCTGATCGATTAAACAATACAGGAATCCGTTGTCATTCGAGTGTGTTTCAACTTTCATAATACCTAGCTCTTCCGACTTTGACGAATATCGACAGTGCCGTAACAAAATTTGTAGTTCAGGTATAGACTGCAACTGCAGTTCTTTTGGAACTTATTCCTTAATCAGATGAATACTTGTCAGATATTTATTGGGCGTACGATATTGGCGTGCGAACGTAGGGGCCAAAAATGCGCGTCTACGACCGACTTCTTTTGAAGGGAAAAGAACCGCTAAAGCAAGAATTGATCCACCGACCTTTCATTCCCCACAACCGAGACTCTAACCACTCGGCTACGACGACACATTCGTAACGGCCAGCCATATACAATTGCAAAAAGTCTCAACTCAAATCTAGCCTCAATGCATGCATTGTCGCGGCGGACGGCTATGACGTCGCACTAGAGATGTCGCTAGTTGGTGGGCCGATTCGTGTAATATAATTGGCGAATACGCCGCCCGGCGCGGTTTTATCGGTAAACACGCGTTAGGCCCCCGTTGCCCGCGCCACTATCACCAAGCGTTCGCCTCAGTTGGCTGTCAGCGGCCGAAACCACTCGCGTCGGCTCGTTTGTAGGGTAGGACGGCCCCTAAAAAACGCACCGACGGAGTGATAACGACGAGGTATATGGTCGGGATTAAGGATATGCAGGTTTGACGAATCTCGAAGTCGCATCTATTAAATAGGTGAGGGTGGGTGGGAAACTTGTCGCCCACTCTCTGCTCCACTCGCCGTCCGTCGCAGTCGACGACTGCCGTTCGCGCCTCTCGGCTCTCCTGCCAGCGGCGCGCCCGTTCCTACACTCCCCTTCGCACCACCCCTAGTCAGGGTCTGCCCCGCGTCTGTCGGCGGGGTGATTTATCTGTCTCCGACCCCCGTCTCCCTTTGCTCCGGTCACGTTCAGTGGCGCCCGGGCAGGGTCCTAACCTTCCATAGCCGCGTCGCCGCTATGAGTTGATTAAACACGGTTATGTTTCTAAGAGCCTTGATGACTCTGGAAATACTTTGTGTGGATATTGATGAGAAAAGAATATTCTTTCGATGTATGGTAGCTTGGTTGGCGAGCCACACGTCTACATTATCAATGCATTGTGACTGTGTAAAGATGAACATGCCCGTTGCATGTAAAACTTGTAATTTCTAAGCGTCTTTTTATTACAAAGGTGTGCACGTGGGTCGTGGATGACCAAAAACTTGATTTTCTGGAAAAGCGGAAAAGCCACATGTTCTTGTTGTCTATGGAATGTATCTCATCTCATTCCAGTGCATTGCCATTGTTTCTTAAATGCTGTTTTCCTTAAATGTACCAAAAATGGCTGATTTCTCAAGATATAGACCATTTCTTTCCACGTGACACGTGAATAACAAAAATGTTTATTGGATACACTTGTCTCTGTTCTATCGATCGCTGGCAACCCCGTGTCGCTGCGGCCCTCTCTTGCCGTAATGTAAATAAGCACGGGAAACGAAGAAAGTCGGGTCAATATTCGGCCGGTTGCCGCGTTTTTCCGCGCCCATGTTTCTCTGTGCCATGCTCCGCGCCCCATCGCAGCATTCCTACACACGAACGGCTACAACTCCGTATACGAAAATTATAGGGAGACGTTGGCTCAATCTACACCATTGAGAAGTGGTTCCATCTCGACGGAAGTGGCGCAAGACGTGGGTATATTCGTAAATATTGAATGTGTTTGGGGCTCAGGCACATGGGAGCGACATGGTCAACGCCTGTGGTAAACAAAAACGGTAAAATAAATCAATCACAACTCAGGCATTTTGCAAAATGCCTGACCCGCCAGGCATTTTGTAAACTGCCTAGGCAGTTCGCAAAATGCCTGGTGGGTCAGGCAGTTTGCAAACTGCCTAGGCATTTCGCAAAATGCCTGGCGGTCAGGCATTTTGCAAATTGCCTGGGCATTTTGCAAAATGCCTAGCCGGTCAGGCATTTTGCAAATTGCCTAGGCATTTTGCAAAATGCCCGAGTTTTCACTTTGCCTGTAACATAGTTACAAATTACACATGTATTAGTAAAGAAGTTTCTGCATTTAGATTAGAATGAATTGTTTTGAAAACATTAGACAATGCGCCTGTATCTTGTAAAAGGATTAGATTGGGCTGTATCAGGACAAAACTGGGGATGAGTCATGTGAGCTCGCAAAGTTGTGCCAGACAACTTCATGAGATCACACTGAAGGAGGGAGCTCCAGCGAATTATTTTCAGCATGCCCAGCTCGAGTGTGCAGCATGTACACTGGACTGGACCATTGTAGTGTCTGAACGTGACGCACAAAACTGAACGTGACACACCAGCGACAAAACAAAACACTACAACCATCTATTGCAAAAACAATTCATACATACCTGCAGCTGTGTGTCCCTGCATCCTGGCCTGCTGTCTTGCATGAGCGATGCTCATAATACAAATGTAGCTGTCCTTAGTCCACTTAATTCCAAAGAAGTTCATCATGTCATTTTTTGATTGAGCGTTCCTCAAGGGACCGTAGGTACCATTATCACGAGCTTCCTGAACAATACTGTGGTGACGCCCACTGCTACAGCAAGGAGGTGGTGCTTTGATGAGCTGTGGAAAAACAGACACATTTGCAGTCACCACTTCTATTATTGTTCTATGAATCCATGACAAGGCCACTTAGAATGAAAGTATGAATAACCTAGCATAAGCCCAAGTTTAACTTTTAATTAAAAACTAAAAGATATATCCTATTGGTCCCTGATTGCACAGACAATTGACTGAATAAATGATATGGCCACACTGCAAACTTCTGCAGAGCCTGTCCAGCCATCACCTTTCTAGATGCTGTAGGCAGTTCAAAGTGTCTGCATAACTGCTCTAAACAATTATTTAATCCTATTGTTTATTTTGAGATCAAATATAACCTAGTAAATAATAAATTTTGTAAATCATTAACATATTATACCACGGAAAGATTGCGCCATGATCGTCTACAAAATCTTCGTCCATTCTATGGCGATATTTCGACATTTCTGTGACAAATATGAACATAAAAGCTATTCAAACTTACAAACGTGAACTGTTCAAACTAATAAAATGCTTATTTAACCACTTAAAACCAAATTATCGGCCACTCGGCTCCAATTCCCTGACTTACCTCTACGCCGGCAGCACAGCAGTTGGCGGCGTGCCAACAGGCGACAGCGCGTTAGGGAAAAACGTTTATTACGACCGATGCAAGATGTGTGTAAAATGAATGTTCAGTTATTTATTTTTTAAAGGGACCCTCCCACCTTCAAAAAAGTTAATGAATTGGCATGAAAGTGATGTCGCTCGGTTCAGAAAGAGCAAAAACGAATATCTACCAAATTTCATCGAAAAATATTCACCGGTTTTCAAGATATTACACTTTTACTCTTGTTTACTTTTTGGGATCTCCGCTGTTCCTATAGCGACTTTATTTGAAAGTGCGGCATTTGTTGCGCGCAAGGCAGCATATACCACCGCGTGCTACAAAACGTTTTAGTCAAACATTTAAAAATCGTTAGATATCTGCGCTGACGTCACACATTCAGAGGGGTATTCCTATGCATTAGCCCCTCTGAATCAAAATGCTGCAATTTTGAAATTCAATATTTCCGATTTAAGGCATTTCTCGATGTTGTGAGTGCCGAAGCCGGTATTTGTGAGCCAGGGACCCCATTTTGGCTATCTCAACTCAAATCTAATGTTAAGGTGGGAGGGTCCCTTTAATTGGAAACGTGAAAATGCGTATAAACGAGCATTATTCGCTTTAAAAGGGCTTTGAAAAATATGATTTTTCTGAAAAAGTAAGGCAAGCAATTTATCTTTCGCGATATGAGCTAAAGTACACATCCCACGGTTTCCGGTCCATATCATTTCGGGAGGGAGAATAGAATATTGCATTTCACCTGGTAAGAAATTGTGTCGAAATGGGCATTATAACAATCGAAATGAAACACTTGAATAGTTCGGTGCACGAAAAGTAATCAAAATATTGATTACAACTCCTTATATGGTCATGCCACGCCCCGTTTTCGTGACGTCATAATCATGAACTTGATTTATCAAGTTCGTGATTACCTCCCCGTAGTTTGCCCAACTGCGATCGGCGATCGCTGGCCAAAGCGCACCACCAGGTTAGTGATAGGCGTTGGCTGTAATATCTAGTGTCGCCTATGTGTAAAAAAGGACAAGTTGATAACAAAGCCTGTTACGCCATGTTATTAACCCGCGCCCGGGTAGCCCTCAGCCAACTTGGTGGGGAGGGGGAGGGGAGGCGTATTCGGCCACACCAGGTTATCTTTGAATGTAACAAAAAAGCTGGAAAGACGCAGTAAAATCAATATATAGCTCGCTATTTTTCTTACATCATACATCATACAGGTCATTTTCGATCAAGTCATCGCTGAGGTCATTTTCGATTAGGATAGATATACATTATACATCTTACATCATACAGGTCATTTTCGATCAGGTCATCGCTGAGGTCACTGGAGGTCACCAAAAGTAAAATGATGACGAATTTTGGCTCCCGATTTTACTTCACAAATTGATTCATAACTCGGGAACCAAAGAAGCTACAGCGCCGCGGAAAAGCGAATTCGATAGCTCCTTTGAAAATCTTTCAGGTTCTCAGATTTGAGCTAAGGTCAACTAGGGTTAAGTCTCCAAAGGGCAAAAACTGAACAATCGGCGTGCTTCGGAAATAATATCACGGATGACACTAGTAACCAGCCCCATCAACGGGTCGGAGCCGGCACGGAGTTGATGTGAAGGAGAGAAGCCAACTACATCAAGAAGCGAAATCAAAGGACTTGAAACGTTCATATAGAAACCTCTGTAAGCAAAACTGGAAATATAAAGAAAAACAGCGTCATAAGTGAAACGATCAGGAGACGACATATAGTAGACGTGAGACTGAACTAAACCGAACTAAGACTATCCGAACTAAGACTAAGAAACCGAACTAAGACTAAGACTATCGTTGAGAAGTGTCCACTGGCCTGTAAAAAAACTGTGACTTCTGTACCGACTAGAAACATACAGTTGTTCACAAAGTCGGAAGCGCGTTGCAAATATGGCTAATTTAGACCAAGGATCTAATAACAATACATAAAATGACTTCTTCACGAACTAAGTAGAACAATCTGATCAGTAAATTACGTAAATTCAACTTCGAATTGAAAACAAAAGACAAACTCTGAGAGCCTGATGCTCCGTCCGCAGCCACAATGTGCAGGAAGTCACTCGCACAAAGAGGCGACGATATCCTGCCGGGGACAAGTGAGTGCCGTCCCTTGCAAACATGCCCTGCCGACCACCGAGCTGATGCCGACTTCCGATGCAGAACTGACGGCCCAGGTGGCGGAGCACGGTGACGTTGTCCCACTCCCGAAGGGCAGCGGCGATCTTCATCTCGGCCTTATAGGAGCCGACAGCTCCGGTGCCGCGCCAACATGACTTGCTGTAGTCGCACGCGCGCCCTTTAATGCGGGGAGTAGGGCCCAGAATCAGGACCCTGTCCTCCCCACATGCTGCGCTTTACGTCGTCCTCGGAGAGCCCCCGACCACCGTATAGTCGGTCAAATATGTATCTTTCCCGGCCGCCAAGTGGCGCTACGGTCTGGATTCGATAGTTGGCTGAGCCCACACCCCAGCTGCCCTGGCGGCTCTGGCGGCCCTGTGACGTCACGCGCGGGGGGCGGAGCTACACAGCGGCCGGCTGGAGAGTGACCGCAGACCAGCACTGGACGGCCTCGCCGCCGGGTGCTCCGGCGGGTCTGGCCGGGAGAGGCGAGCAAGCGGATGCGTTAGGAATCTAACGAATGTGAGGGCAGCGCGATGGTCTAATGATGGCTGTGCTTTCATGCGCCGTGTAAATTGTAGACTGAGTGCTATGAGCTATCAAAGGATTATCTGGTGTTTCAACAGGGGTCGCTGACCTAAAAATTAAGATGGTTGCTCTTGATACGATCGAATGCTTGGTGATATGATGATTAGCGCAAGAGAAATATTTAATCGAATTATGACCGGTTATTTTTTGATAAAGCAAAAACTTTTTTCTTTTTTTTTTGGCATTAACGGGAAAGCGTTAAGCCATATCTACTGAAAATCTTAACCTGCGCCGGGCCGGGGGGGGGGGGCGATTTGCGCCCCCCCCCCAGGTTTTTCGCAGATAGCCGAAAAACGGCGGCGTGCAGCGCCACCAAATTTTGCATACCTGTTTTTCCATCTATTGCGCATACTGTGTGCGAATATTGACCTTATATGACTTAAGGTCAGGTCAACAGGTCGGTTTGAGTGACCTAACGTCACAAAAAGTTTGAACTTGCACCAAAGCTACAACTGTTGACCGATCGATATGAAACTTTCAGGAGTTAGTAAGGGTGACAATATCCACAAAATGTATGTCTCGGATTTTTTTATCTATGACCTGAGGTCAGGTCAATCTCACAACCTCCCCATTATAAGTCAATGGGATAAATTTCAACTTCATCTGAATGCCACCCGATCCACACAATATATTCAGGATCATGGTGTTGCAGGTCCCTGGTGGTCATTCTACCGAAAGATGTCACCGGTGACCTTTGGAAGGTGTCGCTAGGTCATCCGAGGTCACCTGAGGTCACCAGCGGGGGTTTTCTGCAATAACTTTTGAATGAATAGAAATAGAGACTCCGTTCGACGTTTATCATGTTTGTCTGATCAATGCGGATCGAATGATATGCAACATGACCTATTTCAGTCAGGTCATGACCTTGACCTTAGGTCAAATTTTCAACTTGACCTTTCGAGGTCACATGATATAGCTTTCGATGCGCTTTGACAAGCTAAGAACGATGACGTTCGAATCGATCCTTTATCTTGTCTGGATCAAAAGCTATTTAAGAAAAAGTATCAGAAGTAAAAACGTTTTTTATCGCTCTTTCGAACGCCGCCTACCGCTTGTCTCTACGACGCTCAGGAGTCGAGTTAGACGGGGGGGGGGCGTAAAACCGCCCCCTCCTAAAACCGCCTGTTGTGTTACAGATAGAGCACCGGCCCGGCGCAGATTAAACGTTTTCCTTGATTCTTTTGTCGTTTCATAATGATATATTTTATAAAATTTTAATATCATTATATCAAAAATAGGTAAATGTATAAATAGCGCTATGGCATCGCGAGAAATCTGCAAGGCCAGCCTAGTCATGACGACCAGCCGGCCACTCGCTAAACAACCTAAAATAACTTTACCTATTGAAACTTTACCGGGCTCTCCTTCTGCAGCGAATCTGTTTAACCATTTCCGGATCGTTATTGGCGTTCTGCCAACTTGATGTGCGATTTCTGCAACCGTTCTACCCTCATCACTCAACTGAATAATTCTCCCCTTTTCAAAAACGGTGCAGTGATACGGCATCTCAAACCTAGAGCGACTACACTCAAGTTCAAGCTAACGGTCTCCACTCTCCAATTCAGATACCTATCGAAACCTTTCCGCGACCCGGTGCTGTGGCTCAATCAGTGGGCCAGCTGGCCGCAGACCATACCCGCAGGGCATGAACCTTTGACCATATTAGGTCAACACGCCGTGGCCCCAGCCCGCTCGCCAGGTCCGCGCTCATTGGCCGACGCGGCAACCGCACAACCTGTCCCCTCCCCTCCGTAGTACTCGCAGCGGCCGGCGGATTCAGCCAAGTTACCGACCTGCCCAGCGTAGGGAGGGCCGGCCGGGAAAGATACATATTTGACCGACTATACACATCGTTGCCGCCGCACCACAGGATCACTGTGCCACGACGTTGTCCCGTGGCGCGGCAGTGATGACGCCAGCGAGCGATCTTCCCACCAGCTGTAGCAGCCAGGGTGCGAAAAGTGGCGAGGTTAAGTATGGTGTCGGGGGCATCCACCGCCATCCTTGAGTCTCGGGCGATGGAGTCTGCGAGGACGAGATGGCACGACCCCGGGGCGTACCGAACTTCTCTTTTCTCGGTTGGCTCCTCCGGAGCAGGTGGGTGGTGCTCCGGAGCCGACAGCTCCGGAGCACCACCCAACTGGGCTCTTAGGTTGGCACTTTAGCCTCTACATAGAGCCTTGAGGCGTCGCCACGTCTTTCGGCACTTGCTTTTCCCCATCTGAAAATGAAAGCATGTTAAAACTTCACAAGCAGTACCAAAGTAAAATGATCTTAACATAGTCGACTGCATCTAAGTAAATAAGAAGAAAAGGGGAAAAGATCTGATAAAGGCAGCATTTTATTTTTGTG